GGCCTTGCTATGACACAATAAAAACTATTATAGATACGCGTAAATAAATCCCGTAGGGATAATGAACCCCTTCCTCCCCTCCCCTTCCCCTTGCAGAAAAAATCAATTTCGGTTTCTGCCTTTACGGCTTTACCTTAATTTAAATAATTTAAGACTGAAGATCTCAAAAGGGCGAAAAAACGAATTCAAAATAGTAATAAAACAGTAATAATTGACATGATTTACGCCAGCAATTAGCAGTCACCAATTAATTCAAACAATGCCGCCCGGAGCAGTTTAAACTTGCGGTGCCGATGACTTTTGATTGAGGACGTTCACCAAGAAATCCCGTTAGTTTGCGACCGTTTACGGAATTAATGCTGTCACCCCTCCGCCTTCCCCTCTTTCAAAGAAAATAAATAGCAACGCGCACCAGACTAGCCGCGATCATGCGTTTTGTGCAATTCAGTCCATCCAACGATTGACTATTAGTGATTTTCACTGCTTTGCACTTTTGTTTATGCAAAAATAGTTCAAAAATTGGAAAATGGTTAAAAGTTTCACGCACCACCACATGAAAGCTGAATTCGAAACCTTGAAGGATGAATATTTTTCCGTGATTCCCTAGTTAATAGTTTAGCTGCCAAAATTTTCACCAGCCCGTAGGTGATCCCCGAGAGCAAGGGGACGCTGAAATTGAATGGGCAAGGTTGGGCGTGGGCAGGGGGTCATTACCCTAAAATTTCAGCCTCCTAGACTCCTTGGTTCCTGAGATATTGGTTTACCCGTAAAAAACTTTCACGGGGCCGTACGAGTTACCCGCGGGTACGGGAAGGCTGAATTTAAATCTGCCGCGTCACCCGTTGGCGGGAACACTATGCCAAAATTTCAGCCGCCTAGCTTTTGTGGTTCCCGAGTTGAAAGTGCGGGACAAAATATGGAACACACACACAAACACAGACAACCCCGTAACAATATGCGTTTTGTACTGCTGTTACACAGCACAAAACGCATAAAAAAAACTACACCTAATTATGGGAACAAACAACCGGATTTCAGCGTATACAACAAAGTTTGCTTTTCAGCAACATCGACGGTTCCATTCCGAGAGCGTGGTGGTGTTCACTTGCAGCCTTTGATTATGGTATGCTGGAGCCATTTTGCCGTACACAACACTGACTTGGCGGAACAGACCAATCGTAAACGTAGGATGCACGAACGCGATATTCCTTCTCACAAAGTTTACCCGTTTTTACCAGTGATGCATATAAGTTCTGTAAAGAAACACAAGAATCAGGAATCAAAATCCTCGTCCCTAATCACGATCTGTTGTGGAGGTAGTTGGAAGCCGCTCGAGTGGTCGTACATGCCAACAGTAACCATGCCTGACGAAGGTATTGATGCCAAGCAAGCTGACGGCGAGTCATAAAGAATACACATCTATGAAGCAAATTTTCTGCCAAAGCCATCTCCCAGAAGAACGGGAATATTTCAACGTTGGAAATTCCTCCTTTTTTGCCTTTCACTAATTTCATTGTGATATTAACAACATTCTGATGCTAACTTTGGATTTCCTGTGATCACTTACACAACCCGGCACTTCCAAATTCATTTAAACGTCCTTTTTTCCTCAAAATTTCATGCCCTTTGATCTGACCGAAAAAAATGTCCCTCATATTTTCGACTAAATTTTCCCTGCATTCAAATAAATTTTACATTTCCCCGCCTTGATTTTGAGCCTTTTAACAAAAAAACCTCTGCATAAAGAAATCCAGTATTTGTTTAACACAACAAAAAAAGATAGCTATTCCCTCTACGTTCTCGAATAAATCACTGACAGACTTTTTTTCGTCCAGACGCGAAATAAATCGTTTATTTGGTACTGAATTAAAGGAACATGAGTGGGAAAAAATTCTCCAACTTGGGGTCCTCAAACTTAACGGTATCGCTGCGGAAGATACCCTTTCTTCCTCACATAGCTTCATCGCATTTTTCCCCTCTCTTGTCCTCCTTTTCTTCCGAGAAAAACTTTTCAAAAAGGCACAGATTGAGCTAGGGACGATTACAACTACGACTGAGGACCCTGGTGGAAGAAAATTTAAAAAAAAAAAATAACCTCGAGAGATTCGGCCGATTGTTTATGAGTGATAATGTACTGATTATTGCATCCTCTGGAACGAAATTCGGTGTCGAAACGTGGATCGTGCACATATCGAACATCAAGACCGGCTAGCCATGCGCCCACCGATACATCCTCACTCCTGAATTTTACTGCTTTATAACAGCACACTCCATCTACCAGCAGCTAAAACTCGTCTACAAAAGTGAACAAACATTTTCCTAAAATACCGATGACTTCTCAGTTACATCTCAAGTGAAAGAATATTTCCATCTGTAGCAGCTGTCGTGGAAATTTTATGAGCACAATAAGTGCGATTTTATTCCTTTGTTTTTTTACATAAAACGAAACGCCACACTTAACAAGATGTACAGCTATAACTTTACAAGCCTAACAAACTATTTCCTTAATATTTCACGCTTTAGAAGAGTTTTTAGAAGATAAAAACTAAAAATTCCTAATAAAACTAGAGAAAAAACTGGGGGCATAACACCAGCCACACTTAATCTCTACCACCGTTTAAACATGAAAATAAACAAACATCAAGGCCGCTAGCAATTTGTTGCTAAGCGACGCATATTAATCAAAGTATGGATGTCCAAGATGTAAAAAAGGAGGATCACACTTAGAATAAAAGCTGTTTATGACATTTCAACCTCTGAGGTACAGAACTGCTACCAGTGAGATGTAAGAAAGCCAAAAACGGCTCATTTTACCTCTTTTCCCATTTCCATCCTGTCTAGAACTCTTTAAGGGGACCTAGAAAAACCTGAACCGGGCTGGTACTAGGCCTCCTTTATGCAGATAGAGTATAAATATACGAGTACTCATAATTAATACCCATTTAAATCAACACAAAATTTTTTAACATGGTTTAGAACCATTTTCTGGCCCATCTATATTGGAAAGGCCGTGAGTACCTGCCCGAGGTATTCATTTTTTTAAATTCTGTCTAGGAAGCTGAAATTTTAGGATAAGCAGTCTTAAGTAAAAAAGATTAGTACCACCCCGGAAGCTAAGGAATTTAGGTCTTTCCAGTAAAGTGGAAAATGGCGCCAGACAGGAACCCCATGAAAAAGTTATTTATTGGGAAATGTGGCTAAAATAAGAAAATGTAAGAAATAGCTCAGGGTCGAAAGGTCTGCAAAAGCTACGCCTGGCGCGGAACATCCCAGTAACATCATTAACATGAAGTTCGCGCAGTAACAGCTCAGGTGGCTTTGGTATTCTGGGTTCAAAACACTTACTTGTAAAGTTTCAGCAGATCCCTGTTCCGCACGATGAAATCCACCAATTTGTACGATAAAACATAGCCGCCTCCAAGCTGAAATGATCTTTTTGACAATTTTCCTCATCACTTCAACAAATTTCGATCAACTTTTGTTCTATTTAAGCATACTGTTATGTCATCTATACAATTGGTAATCTTTTTCACAGTTGCTGCGCGAACTCTGTTCGTGGTGCGCGCAATTATCATATTTCTTTGCTTTTTATGCGA